ACCAATAAATCCGTAAACGAGATCACCAATTTTATGGGTTGGATTATTTGATTTTACAACTTCAGATACTCCAACACTATTTAAAACATGACCAATTATTTGTGGTGGCATAAATGATTTAATATGAGGTTCTCTTAAGGTCACACGAACATAAGGATCTAAAGACAAATAAAGATTCTTCAAAATAAAATCATTTTCTCCCAATTTTAATTTTTCAATATCAATTGTACGGTGAACTAATTCAAAGTGTACGTCGGATTTGGGTAATCCTTCTGGAATAGCTAAGAATCTGAATCTCAGTCATAAGGAAGGCCATCAGAATTAGAACATCTGAAATTGAACTTCAAGACAGAATCCCAATTTCAGTCATGAAATTGAGATATAGATAGAATCTGAATTTCAGTCACAAGACCATCTGAAATTGAACTTTAGATATCTGAATTTTAGTCTCAAGGCCATCTGAAAATTTGTAAAAAAAAAATCAATTGATTATAATTTTAATAATTTATTTAATATTAAAATATTATGTAAATGATATATATATCTTTGAATTTAAGAAAGAATTTATATGATTCTGAATTATTTTCAAGTATTGCTTATATATATTACTTAAATTGATAAATACTTTAATTATATTTTTTTAAGATTTATTATTTCAGTTTTTTATAATTATCCCATAACTTCAATTATTTACCATTTTTTTAAAAAATTGAAAATTATTACATTGCTAAAATTTACTAATTAGAATTAAAATTTATACTTAACTATACATTTTTATCACTTCTACTATAAATAAATTTATAATTATATAATAAATTTATTTACAAATTGTTAAAATACTATAATAAATACATATTTATTAATTATTTATATTTGTAGCTTAATAATTTTTGAATTATTATTAATAATAAAAAAAATAAAAGAAGAAAAAAACGCATTGTTATCATTTTATACTGATTTGCGATCTTTAGATATTTTATTTACATACTTTGACGTCTCATTTTTCTTTATATAGGAAATATTCAAAGTTATTTCGAATATTCGTTATTTGTTTTAAAACTATTAATCAGAACATTAATTTACTTGGACAAAACTATTAAGTTATGCGATAGGTTTAAGATATTGCTAAAGAAATTTTTGTGATTATAGCTTTTTAAATCTTTATCCGCATGATTATACAATGGTTTTCTTATCCATTCATTGGTCGTAATATCACTTCTTTAAGAGAAACACATCTCGCGAAAATCGTCAAATCGAAAAATAACTTTTGATACGACTTTTTGTCAAAAAAGAGGATCTTTATTGAGGGTGAATTTTTTTAAATAAAAGGTAAGAACACAATTTCTTTAATCGAAATGCTATTTCTATTGTTCACTACAATATCAGCAATAATAATCTCTCTTTCTTTCTGTAAATCAAAATAAACGCAAATGAACAAAACTTCATTGTTGTTCATGATTTATAATTGTTGCACGAGTTATCTCATACATACATAATTTACAGCAACCGACTAAAATCAATTTCGATTACAAGTCCGATACTCCTAGTTTAGCAACGAGTCTATTGATTTATGATGTACATTGAAAATACGAGCGAAGGAAATGATCAGGTTATTGTAAAAGAATATAATATAACAAAAAAGAAAAAAAGTTCAAAAATTTGTACCATTTCTTGTTCTTTGAAATAGTTAATTGAATAATAATGCTAATAAATTTATTTTTATCAATTCTCATCAAAAATACTTTTTGATGCACGCAAATAATGCTATTTTGATAATATTAATAGACCATTAAAATGAATATTATAAAAATGAAGATGCTTTAAAAAGGTAATGCCCTTTAAATCTTGGATAATTTTGTTTTATGATGAATGTATTTTTCTTTTTTTCATCATTTTTTAAAAGAAAGGATTTAACCTTTGCTAACGGAATAATATAATTAGTTTTTTATCCATGCAAAACCAAATAACCGAATTTGTGTTAATCATTAGTTATATTTGAGCATAATGGCGATTTAGAAATTATGATTGGCCATGATGGAATCGCGAGAAAGATACTGTATCTATTTAAGAAAAATGTATAGTCATAATAATTTTAAATCGTTTATTTGAAGTTTAACAAGGTATGATTTTCGTTTGAAATTCGAATTCTTACTTCTGTGAGGTTATTAGGAATGAAATTTCCATACACTATTATGAAATTTTATTATATATATAATTTATTTAGGGAATCAGCAAATCATCGTTATTTATAGCAAAGGCTTCTCCATTTTTTTTTAAGTTTTGTTTGTATAAATTTTTTGAATCGTTTATTCTTGCAGAGATTCCGACGAAGGATGGATTCTTTTGCGATATTGAATTTGAAATGCATTTTTTCGGTATGATTATCTCTTAGTATAGAGATAATTAACAGTATATCGAATGTTTATTAAGTAGATAGCAATAATTTTTTTGAACTTGGACGAAAGTAGAAATTTATAAAAAAAATAATACAGGGTTTTATTTTTATTCAGTAGATATACAAAAATTCCAACAATTGATGTCTCTACAATAGACAATTCTATTTTTTTTCGAAATACAAAATATAACGAAGTCTTTCCTCCAAAAGTTCTATCGTCATGTTGAATTTTCTGACAGAAATCCGAAAAGGTGCATTTTATCGCTGGAATTTCACTAAAGCAGAATATTTCCTTGTTGTTAAAACAAAAATTATAGTAATTTATAATTTATTATAATCCACATTTTCTTTTTGATTCTAATTTGAATTATACTACTTTTGATTATGTATGGAGCGTGTCATTATAAAATGACTATCAGACAAATAAATCAACAAAATTTTTTTTATAAAATAAAGAATCTGACGAAAAAAATGAATTTAAAAATATATTTTGCCAACGATTTCAACGATTTGTTGATTTCAAGAAGGTTTTGATCGATTTAAATGACGAAAAGTCATCACCAAAATTACCAAAATTGGTCCACCAATCAAATCCCTTTTCATTGTTTATAAAATAGTCGGTTGTTTTGCTGGTCTGGATCTTTTATTTCTTATTCACTCTTCCCTTTTGAGATAAAGAGTAGAGGTATATACTTAAGAAAATACTTTTTCTTGTGAAGAACAATTTTTTCTTTTTTTAACCTTATTCCTTACTATTGATTTAGAATTGATATTGGAATATGGAGCAAGGCCACGTATTTATATTATTTTCTTTTTATGAAGGTGGCTTTTACTAAAATTAATAAATGCGTCGAAAAAATTGATAAAATGGAATATTACTATTAAAAAAATATACTGTATATGTAGAGCCTCTATATCTTTGGATGGATACATTAGATTACTAAATGGAAGTATGATTGGATTTCTGCGCTGTTATTTATACCTTAGATTGTATACAGGAAACGGTTTGATTCATCGTTATGATTTTTTTTATTATCAAGCACTTACTAATTTATACATGACATGACATGAATTATATTAACGCGTCGAAAAAGAGATGGGTATAAAATTTCTACTGGAAAAATGTAGTATATGGATTATTTAGTTCGCGTTGATTTTGAGTTGACTATTTTATTTATGATATTTACTTGAATAATAATGGCTCTTCGATTACATTGATGGATTGGTTTATACTATGGAGATTATTTATAATGGATGGAAAATAATGATAATTTTATGATTATTAATTTAACATTGAATATTTGACTTTGACGCAGAAAACGCGGTTTGAATTTTCTTTATATGTTTTTTTTTATTATCAAGCATTACTAACATATACTTGAAAATGTATGACGCGTCGAAGGAGCGGAATTGCTATAAAATTAATTAGTCATTTGATGGATATGATTAATGATTGTGGAATATGGTTAGATTTATTTTAGTTAAAAGTTGAAAAAATGCGACTCAATATATACTTGGACGATGGCGAACTATGATGGTGTAATATTTGAGATATTGTTGAACCATTTATAATTTGAAGGTTACGTTAAATATTGGATTTTTAATCAGGAGGAGGGTCACGTTTGATTTTTCGTTTTTAATGTTTCTTTCATTGTATTAGCAATTACTAATCTTTGCTTGTATTATAATGACGCGCCTATTACATTGATGGTTGATGGAGTAGATATAATAATAAAATTTATGTTGGACTTTATTTTTTACATTGAATATTGGAATATAGATAAAGCAAGAAACGCGGTTTGATTTTTTTTCTTTTTTTAATTATTATTTATCATTTACTAATATGTACTTGAATAAATTGACGCGTCGATTACATTGGTGGAGTGGATATAATATTAGAGTTATTTAATAACTTTATGTTGGATTTTGATTGCTTACATTGAATATTGAAAAGCAGGAAACACGGTTTGGTTTTTTATATTGTTTTTTTTATTATCAAGCATTTACTAATATATACTTGAATGATCATGCGTTATTATTACATGATGGAGAAGAATTTGCGATTGAATTTAATCATTAGGTGGATATTGGTTCTATATACTTGAATAAATTGCCGCGTTAATTAAATTGATGGATTAGAATTAATTATTGGAGTTGATTTATAATCGGATGGATAATATGTAATAATTTTTATAATTTATTACATTGAATATTAAATATATATGAAGCAAGAAAAGCGGTTAGATTTTTCTTTATTAATGATTTCTTTATCATTTACTAACGCGTCAATTACATTAGTGAAGTGGAATGTAGAATTAGAGTTATATTATAATTGGATGGACTTTATGTAATAATTTTATAATGGATATTGATTTTTTACATTGGAATTATATAACAGGAAACGCGGTTTGATTTTTTTGCAATTGATTTCTTTTATTATAACGCGATTATTACATGATGGAGCAGAATTTGCTATTGAAGTTAATTAATCATTGGATGGATATGAGTAATGATTAAGTGAAATTGTGTAGATAGGATGATGATAATGGCGTATAGATGAAGTAATATTGTTGAAAAAATTATCATTAGGATGTATGTAAATTGTTAAGTGGAAATGTGATTCAATTTTTTAAATCAACGTAAATATTGGATCTTCAATTAGGAAGAGGGATTACGGTTTGATTTTTCATTATTAATAATTTCTTTTGTTATTATTGAGCATTTACTAATATATACTTGAATGAAAAATGACGCGTCAATACATTGATGGAGTGGATGAAGTGGAATATGGTATTGAAATTGATTTATAATTGGATGTATAATATGTAATAATTTGATGTTGTTTATGATTTTTTTACATTGTATATGAAGCTGGAAAAGCGGTTTGATTTTATTTATTAATGTTTTCTTTTGTTATTTTTGAACATTTACTAATATATACTTGAATGAAAAATGACGCGTCGATTACATTGATAGAGTAGAAAATATTGGAATTGATTGATTTATAATTGGATTGATAGTATGTAATAATTTTATGTGGGATTATGATTTATTACATTTTATATTGGAATATATAAATGGCGCGTTACATTGATTGAATGGAATTCAATATTGGAGTTAGTTTATATTTGGTTGGAAAATATATATATAGTGGGATTATGATTTTTTATATAAATATTGGAATTTAAAGCAGGAAAAATGGTTTGACTTTGCGTTTTAATTAAATTATTTACTTTTTTTAATCAAACATTTGCTAATATAAATCAAATGATTATAATTCGGCAATTAAATTGTGGAACGGAATATTATGAAGGATATGGATTTATTTTATTTAACGGAACTTGAAGATGTAAATGCTGTTTAGTATACACTTGTATGATGATGACAATTCAGATACATTTTATGGAGTAAAATTTAGTTATTTTTGAAAAATTTAGAAGGGTATATGTAAATTATTAAAAGGAAATGAGACTGGATAAGCTAACGATATATTATGGAATTCAAGTTGGCAGGGTTTATTTTTCATTATTTGTTTGTTTTCTTTTATCATCAAGCATTTACTAATTAATTTATAATTGAATGTATGATTTTGATTATTAACATTGA